GTTGAAGATCTCCTTCTTTGGTTTTACAAAATAGAAGAGAAGAACAATGCAGGAAAAGTAAAATTATAGATTAAGGAGAAGAACAATGCGGAAAAATAATCTATGTCGTCTTTTGGATCGATCCAATCTCTATTTCTGACTCTGACTCGCTTTTTCTAACATTCTAATCAGTGGCCAAGCGTAACCATAGATTAGGGAGTAGTATAGTGGCAGTCTTAATGTTAACCCAGAGACCCTAGATGTACTATTACTCGGTCAAATTTCTATTATTCATCAAAGCAGTTGTAGGGACGTTTACTAAAGCTAAGTGAACAAAGCGAAGAAAGTTGATTCGATTTCATATGCAAGAAAGATCACTCAAGTATGCATTCCCCTAGTTTATATTTAGGTGTTGTAATTCCCCTAAGTTCAGTTCATTGATAGTTATACCACAAAAGGTCCAGTATTAGTTTGGAATCTTGACTAAACCGCGCAGACCAAGCCCTCTTAAACAAATCAGTCTGCGTGAAATTATCCTCAAATGAATGCCAAGTCAATGCAAATAGACCTCATCTACAGAAATAGATTATAGTACAGAGTAATGAATCAATTTACTATTCATAAAATCGATTCAATACCTCCAAATAAGGTTGCTCGCTTAACCAAATTAGATATTCTCTCTCCTAAGTTAAAGTAATAATAATAAAAAATATGATCTAGACTCAATCAATTATGAAATATGCCTCAATTGAACATGACCAATATGTCCAACAACCCAAGGGTTCATACAATCATTCTCCTAACATATGGAGCTAGGGTTCTTCTTCATAGAGAGAGAGAGAGAGAGATAGAGAGAGAGAGGAAAACCATGCTTGAAGTAGTCATGCTCATCAAGATGATGGTGATTTGCTATGGGATGTCAATCTGCATTCTAAGAGACGAAATCTGAGCTGAAATGGATATGGGAATGCATCTCAACAATCTCTTTCCCAATTCTCCTCAATGGATCCCCACAGAGCTATTTCCGTCCTCAGCGAGGTTTGCACTAGGTGGACCCGTTATCGGCCCTTTTGTGTGCTATTTACACAGAGGGATTTTCTGCTTTGTTTAACCAGGCTATCCATTCTAACTTTCTGCATGGTCTTAAGATTCATCCCATTGCCCTGTGCTCTCACATTTTTTCTTTGCAGATGATTGCTACCTTTTTCTCCATGGTTCAACTTCTGAATGCTATAACCAATGCAGTCAAAATCGGGCTTTCAAACTTAAAAACTTAGGCCTTTTAACTTTTAAGTCACCAAAATGTTTTTACGTAGAATTACACTTCTTACTAATTTCGATTGTAGTCAAAATCTACGCTTTAAAGCTTAAAGCTTACAATTTTAATTTACGCTTTTAGTTCACCATAGCGCTTCTACGTAGAATCACGTCTTTGATTGCATTGGCCACAACCTTACTTCACTCTTCACCACCTATCAACAGATTAGCTGCCAGAAGATCAATCATCAGAAGTCCAAAACCTCTTCCAGTGCCAATGTTTCGGTGAATGCGGCGGCTGCAATAAATAACATTCTTGGAGTATGTGCGAGTGGAGAAGATGATAAATACCTTGGCCTTCCCCGTTTGTTTAGGCTGTTCAAAGCAAGATACTTTCCTCTACATTGAGGACAACCTATTTCTACGACTTCAACGGTGGAAGTCCCAACCCATGTCATTGGTCGTCGTGGAAACAGTCCTCAAATCGGTTGCTTTTGCCTCCCCAAGGTATGCTATGTCCAGCTTCCGCTTCCCCTTTACCTTTTGCAATACACTCAATGACCATCTAGCTCGCTTTTGGTGGGCCCTACAGGATCTTGAAAGTGGGATGAAATGGGCTTCTTGGTGAATTTGTGTTGGGCAAAGACAGCGGGTGGGCTTGGATTTTGTGACATAGACAGCAACAATATTGCCCTATTAGCCAAGCAAGGGTGCAGGATTCTGCGAAACCCGGATGGCTTACTTGCAATAGCTTACAAGAGTCGTTACTTTTCTCGCTCTTCCTTCCTTCATGCTCCACAAGGCTCTCGTCCCTCAAGGGCTTGGCAAGGAATCGATGAAGGACGACATTTTCTTCTCCACAAACTACGATGCCAGATTGGATATGGTACTTTGGTCTTCACAGAGGATAATTGGATGCCCACGACTTGTCCCTCGTGCCGCACGCTGCTACCAAATTCGGTGTCACCTGCTCCTCGTGTATCTTTTCTAATCGATCAGTCCACTAGCTCTTGGAAGGTACATTTCTTTACTCCCTCTTTGATGCTGATACAATACACATTATCCGAAGTATACCTTTATCCATTTTCCCCACAACAGACAGACTTGTATGGCATTACTAACCCTCGGATGAATATACAGTCAAATCAGGATTGGAAATTCTGCTGGTCACTACCAGTCCCTCAGAAACTCATATTTTTCATGTGGCATTTGATTAAAGGCTTCCTGCATTTGAAGGCTGTTCTTCGGGACAAAGAACTAATTGATGATGATGGAGAAGCTATTTTATGTCCCATCTGTTGTGCTGCTCCTAAGACCTTTTCTCAAGCTTTTCTTAATTGTCGTTTTGCAATTCATTTGTGGTCTTTGGTTGGATATACTAACTTACGGTTGCAGATTGCTGATTTCCACATAGCAGTAGGTTGCAGTTTGATATTTTTTATGCAGGGCTTCCCAAGACTAGAATTAATTGTCTTGTCTTCATGTACTAACACTTCTGAAGTCCCGCTGCGCATCAGCCTATGAGGGAATTCATTTTCTTCCAGCTACTCTATTACGTGACATTCCAGGAATTTGAATGGACGTAAGCTCAAGCTGCAACTTCTCAATCTCACATCACAAAGGTCCCCCCCCCCCCCCCCCCCCCCCCCCCCCTTCTCCCTCTAGTAGCCTCGGGCCACCTCCCATCCCCCATGGAGTTTCTCGTCCACTTTGATGGAGCAACAATGGCGTCTGTGGGTGGTGTTATTGGTTTCATAGGCCTTTCTGGCGATCGATCTATTGACTTTGCTTTTTTTCGATTCTACAACTTATTTCATACTCTTTTCTCATTGAGCTCCTTGCTCTGAGGGACTCCCTCCGATGGTGCATTTCTCATTCAATTTCTAATATATTATTAAGTGGTGATGCGCAGGTGATCATTCGGATGATCAATGCGATGGACTCGGCGCACGCTTTAGGTGGCTCTCTTTTATATGAAGTTGATGTGCTTCAGTCATCTTTCGAGTGTGCCTAATTTCACTTCGCTCCGTGTAGGTTTAATAGGGCTGCCCATATCGTTACAAAACAAGTCCTCTCATCGTTGGATCGCTTTTTGCTTTATTAGCACCTCTTATTTCTATTTTGCAATTAGAGTTGCAAAAATCACATATATATATGGTTGCGTCTTCAGTGCACTCACTTTTTTGGGTGCATTCAGTGCACTCACTTCATAGCCGTCATTTTAAACATGCGATTTATGTCAAAATGATATCAATCATCACTTAGGATGTGATGAACAATAACGCACATGAATTTGCAAAAAAAATTCATTAAAGATTTACTTTAATTTGAAGAATATAGAGTTCAGAGATTTAGGGTTAGTGTTAGGGTTTAAAATTTGGGGTTTAGGGATAGAAATCAAAATTGGAGGTATAGTGCTAATGGTAATCTGCTAATTAGTTGTTATCATATGTTCTATCATCATATTACACTAATTCTACAAATTAAAATTCAAAATCCGACACCTTAAGACTAGTTTTTGAGATGGGTGCATTGAATGCACTCATTTTTGCGAGTGCACTGAAGTAGCCACCATATATATATGGTTCAGGCTAGCATACGTCAGTTGGTACGCCTGTCGAGTTTTACTATTTAGAGCAGGAATTAACCAAACTTTTGGGCACGATACTATACCCTAACCTCTAATGGATAAACCACAGTCCCTAATTCTCTAACCCAAGCTACGATATTCATTTAATCTAGAAAATAATAACCGACGGTTCTGATTCAGCGAAATATATTGAAGTGCAAAAACCAAGTGTGAACACAGGCGTACAGCGTACGACTGACGTACGCTAGCCTTTTCCATATATATGGTTATCTATATATATATCAAAATATGGTGGCTACTTCGGTGTACTCACATTTTTGGGTGCACTCAGTACACCCAATTCTAAAAGTGTCCATAATACATCAAATTTTGAACTTTAATTAGTACTCTCAATCTAATATGATGATATGACATAGAATCATAACAAATTAATCTATTACCCTAACCCCTTAACCTTCAATTTTGAATCCCAACCCAAAATCCCAAATTGTAAACCTAAACCCTAACCCTAAATCCTAAATCCTTCGAATTAAAGTAAATTATGAATGAATTTTTTTCAAATTCATGTGCTTCTTGTTCATAATATTATAAGCAACAATTGATACCGTTTTGATATGAATCGCATGTTCAGAATGACAATTATGAGACGGGAGCACTTAGTGCACCTGAAAAAATGGGTGCAAAGAATACGCCACTATCAAAATATATATACTCGTATCTTGATGTTTCCTACCTTTAGAAAATAAAATCTCCGATTTCTGACCACACAATCTTTATCCCCTTGTGGGGATCATTAAATAAGATGAGATCCTGATCCTCAATCCTCATCAATTTCCCCACTTCATCTCACATGCAGACCTTGATTAGGAGAAATTTTACAATGCTATATAGTATTGGTGCTATAGGTTTTTGCCTTTATGGTACAACTTAAAATTGTACATTTACGTTATGGTACAACTTCAGATTGTACCTATACTTTTTGTACAAATTCTTTTATGGTACAACTTGAACTTGTACCTTTATGTGATGGTACAACTTCAAGTTGTAAAGTTGTACCATAACATAAGGGTACAAATTGTTTTATGGTACAACCTAAACTTATACATTTAATGTTATGGTAAAACTTTAAGTTGTACAATAAAGCACCAATACTATATAGCATAGTAGAAGTGCTCCTTGATTAGCCCTTCAAATAAAGAATAAAACCTTACCCACCCACCTAAAATCTCCACGCTCTTATATAACCCTGGCAATCTTTCATTTCATTTCAACAATCTTTGCCTTAACCCCTCACCAATGGAGCAAATAACAACGTTTTCCCTCTCCACAATCGTCTTTCTCATCATAGCAATTTCAAAGTACATAATCTCCTCCAAACGACGTCGTAGAAAGCTCCTCCCGCCTAGCCCACCTTCACTCCCTCTCATCGGCCACCTCCACCTCCTCAAAGAGCCGCTCCACAGAACCCTCCAATACCTCTCCGCCCGCTACGGCCCAATTATCTTCCTCTCCATGGGCACAGCCCGAAACGCCGTCGTAATCTCCTCTCCATCCCTCGCCGAAGAATGCTTCACCAAAAACGACACCGTCTTCGCGAACCGGCCCAACACCACCCTGGGCCAGATCCTCCACTACAACTATACCACCATCGCTGCCGCACCTTCGGGCCCGATCTGGCGCGCCCTCCGCCGCTTCACCGCCGTCGAGCTCCTCTCCTCCGCCGCGGTCAACGACTCCTCCTACATCCGCCGGGACGAAGTCAATCTCCTCCTCCGGAACCTTCTCGAGTCGGGTCGGGGCGTCGGGTCGGGTTTTGGTTTTTACGAGATGGATATGAGGGCGAGGCTCTCGGGTCTTACGATGAATGTCATCACGAGGATGGTGGCGGGGAAGAGATATTACGGCGACGGAGGGGAGCTGGTTGATGATGATGGTTTTGGAGACGTGGTGAGGGAGATTGGGTTCGTGCTGACCAACGCGTCGACTCCGGGGGATTTCTTGCCGGCGCTGCGGTGGCTCGATTTGGGCGGGACGGAGGCGAAGATGCGGCGGGCTCATGCCACGTGTGATGGGTTTTGCCAGCGCTTGATTGATGAGAGCCGGAATGAGAATAAAGGAGGGAGGAAGAATTGTGCGAGTAGGCCGCCGAAGATGATTGATGCTATGTTGGCTCTGCAGGAATCTGAGCCTGAAACATACACCGATGATGTCATTAAAGGCCACGTGCTCGTAAGTAACTCTGAACCGTTTTTATATTTTGAAACTATGGATTCAACCGTGGACATATACCGAATTGATACAGTAGATATTTGTAAAAATTATAGTTAATATAAATTATTAATAGGAAAGCGTGTATGGCGGAGACGGCTCAAGATAGGGTTATGCACCCATCAATAACCAAATCTGGACCCTTCATTTAGAAAATTCAGATCTAAGGATGGAGAATTAAAGGCTATTTTTATTTTCACTAGCTTTCTTAATTGACTCATATCTTTTTCGTTTTAACTTGGATTTTAATTTTTTTTGCACAGATGGAACGAGTTCACCGTGCTCTACAAAATGAGATCAATTTTCAATATTTTTTTAGAAAAAAAAAATTCTGGCCTCTCGGTACCAACTGCATACCATATGGTATCTTCTTCGTTTTTAATTCGTTTTTGAAAACGTTTGCACAGCAGGGATGAGTTCATCATGATCTACTGGATCTACAAATTTCTGGGTGAACAAATTACAGGACAAAAAAATACCACACAATACCATACAATACCACCCTGGTACGGGGTGGTATTGTATGGTATCTTCTTCGTTTTTAATTCATTTTTGAAAACGTTTGCACAGAAGGGACGAGTTCATCATGATCTATTGGATCTACAAATTTCTGGGTGAACAAATTACATGACCAAAAAATACCACACAATACCATACAATACCACCTTGGTACGGGGTGGTATTGTGTGGTATACAATGTTAAAAGTCGTAAATTACAATTAATATACTTCTACTATCATGTATTCAACCATCCTACAGTATTGGTTTGTTCATACCACCATGGTACGTTTTTCAAAACATAGGTATGCTTTTATTTCAATACCAGTCAATACCATATGGTATAGGCTGGTAAAAAATGGCTCAATTTTTTTTGTTCGAAAAATATATTAAAGTGGATATCATTTTGAAGAGCACAATTAATCTGATCTAACTGTGCAAAAAAAATTAAATTTCGACTTAAAATGAGCGAGAAATCGTCCGTCAAAGATTAAAGAGGGAAAAATTAAAGGCTTTCCATGAGAGAGAGGATGCTGATGTCATGCTGATGTGGACGGGTTACTCATGGTTACTCACCACAAGGTTACTCACCTGATCCATTCCCGGCGGAGACAGTATTTCAAACCACACCTGTTCTCTTTTCATAATATAAATATATAAATATTTAATTAAAATTAATTATATATGCATAATTCATTCATAGATTAAAAATAACCGACTATACAATCATTGTTTTTAACAACCACGGAGAGATTTCATATTGTAAAAGAAACGCAAAAACATTCATCGTCTACACTATTAAATAAGTCTTTGTCAACGTATCTCACTAAATTAGCATTAGCAAATTGGTTGCCAAATCGACTTGGAAACTTGTTCTTAATATAACTAAAAGCTGAAAATGCTCTTTTTACATTTGCAGTTGTAATTCGTAGAATCAAAACTAGTGGAATTGTTGATGTCGCTAGACAATTTCAGGGTTGTTGGGAAAAAATCGAATGGGCATAAGGAGAAAAGATATCCAATTAGCTCTTCATTGCAATTAGAATTCGTTTATAGTATAATAAATTAATTTTATGTCAATTTATGAATAAGTAATGAGTTGTGTTGTAGTGACAAAAATTCTCTAATACTACCTATAGGCGTCGTTTTGCATCACCAATATACATATATATGACAGATTTTTGTTACTCCGAAATTTACCCCTGTCCCAGGACAAGGCCGAATGGCCTCCCTCCGTCTATGAGTGTATGTAGTTTCGTGTGATTAATAAATATAGAGAATAAATTGAAGATATCATAACTACGAGAATAAATATCTTTCTGATACTATTTTTTTGTCTAATGAATAGTTTCTTCCCATTGGTGTAGGTAGAAAAGTATTAAATAGAACATGTATCAAATCTGGTAAACTAGGAATCTCTGACCCTAAAGGCGGACAAAATAATAGAAGAGAACTGTATATGAATATGATTAGTCAATTGAAGTGACTCAATTCGTTCAATAACACTGTACACATCATGGAAAAGCAGACCCTAATTAATTAACCCTTGCCTTTTCAATAACATCCTGCTTTAATGTGTAGATAATGATAATCGTGGGTACGAACACATTTGCCGTGATGATGGAATGGGCACTCTCCGCCTTACTCAACAACCCTACCGTCCTCGACAAGGCAAGAATCGAGCTGGACGCCATTGTCGGCCATAATCGACTAGTCGACGATTGCGACTATCACAACCTTCCTTATCTCCACAGCATCATTATAGAAACGCTTCGCTTGTATCCGGTGACACCGTTGTTGGTGCCGCACCAGTCGTCGGAAGATTGCACCATTAGAGGCTACCACATCCCGAAAGGTACGATGTTGATGGTCAACGCGTGGGCTATTCACCGGGATCCTACGGTATGGGAAGACCCGAGTAGTTTCCGGCCGGAAAGATATGGAAATGGGGAGGTCAGCGGCCAGGCGTACGGGTTTTTGCCGTTTGGTATTGGAAGAAGGTCGTGCCCCGGTTCCGGGCTGGCGAATAAGGCGATGTGCTTGGTTTTGGGTTCGTTGATTCAGTGCTTTGAGTGGGAACGGAAAGGTGAGGAGTTGGTGGATATGTGTGAAGGAAGAGGGATAACTATGCCCAAAGCGACGCCTTTGGTGGCGATGTGTAGAGTTAGAGAGTGTATGAAGGATGTTTTCTTGACTATGTAGCTAATAATTAATAAATGCATAATGATGAATTGAGATTTTAGGTTAATTAGTATTAATAATAAATGCATAATAATGACAACGTAGCTATTCAAGAATTTCGCAATGTTTAAAAGCATCGCTACTTTAGTTTTTGACTTTATGGTACTACTTCGGGTCATACCTATACTCTTTTGTCCTTATAGCTCTCAACAAACTCGACCCTCATTCCACTACTTGCATCTTGATAGGCTACTCCCATCAACAAAGTGCTTACAAGTGTTTGACTCAGCCTCTCAACGTGTCTTTTTTTCTCGGCATGTTCCTTTTGTTGAATACAATTTCCCTGGCATACCTTCCTCGGTCAACAACTCACCCTCCCTCCTCCACCTAGTCGGTGGCCTCCTGTATAGCAGTTAGACGTGTCATCGGCTCTGCCCCATTCTCACTCCCCTTTGTAGGTCGCTTTCCGGGAAAGTATCTCTCCAGCTCCAGCTACGTCACCACCTGACCAGCTGCACCATCCCACCCCATGGTAACATGGCTTAAAGACAATATTGTTAAGCCTAATCATAAATATGTGCAGGTTATGGCTACCTCTCTCAAGTAACGCCTACTCTCGAGCCCATTGTTATAAACGCGCTGCTACGGATAGGGAAATCACCGGGATCGACAAAGCAAGAATACGAGAGCGAGAATCGAAAACACGACACACGATTTACGTGGTTCACTAACACGATGTGTGTTAGCTACGTCCACGGGCGAGAGAGAGCCAGTTTCACTATATCTGAGGAGATTACAGATTACAGAGGAGTATGAGAAGTATTTATAGTACTTCTCCATGTGGGTCTAAACCTAATCCAATCTAGCAAAGGAAACGGTTACAGACCAGGCCTAGAACCCGAACCCAAATAACATTGAGCCCATACACCGTGGGCCGGGGGCTGATAGTCCGATTCAAGTCATATCAACAAATCTCCACCTTGACTTGAATCCTCTTCCTCTGAAATCTCTGATGTACTCTGCTCCTTCTCTCTCTCTCCCGCCATCAATGCCCCGTAGGGCGGAGTCACCCACTCAAGACATTCAGCAAGTCCAAGCAGTGTTGGAACTTGCCATGAGGAACCGGCTTCGTGAACATATCAGCAGGATTATCCGCGGTGCCAACCTTCTTCACCTTAATCCTCTTCTCTGTCCTCAAGAAATGATACCTCACATCGATGTGCTTAGTCCTCTCATGGTGGACTTGATCCTTGGCCAAGCATATTGCACTCAAACTGTCGCAATACACCACTGCCTGATCATGATGTAGACCAAGATCACCAACCAGTCCCTTCAACCATATTCCCTCCTTAGCAGCTTCTGTCAACGCCATATACTCTGCCTCAGTAGTAGACAATGTCACCGCCGACTGCAAAGTTGCCTTCCAGCTCACTACAGAACTCCCAAGAGTGAATACATAACCGGTCATCGATCTCCTCGTGTCAACATCTCCAGCATAGTCCGAGTCAGAATACCCAGACACCAAGCACTCTGTATCACTTCCGAAGGTAATCCCCACATCAGGTGTACCCTTAAGGTACCGGAAGATCCTCTTCACAGCCTGCCAATGCTCCTTCCCAGGTTGTATCATAAACCTGCTGACAACACTAACAGCATGTGCAAGATCAGGTCTAGTGCATACCATAGCGTACATCAAGCTACCTACTGCACTAGCATATGGGACTCTCGACATGTACTCCTTCTCAGCCTCTGACTGCGGTGCATAAGCTGAGGATAGATGAACATTTGAAGCACTAGGAGTATTTAAGGGCTTTGCTGAAGACATGCCAAACCTCGACAATATCTTCTGGATGTAGCTCTTCTGTGACAAGAAAAGCTTCTTCTTCGACCTGTCCCTGTAAATCTCCATACCCAAGATCTTCTGAGCAGCTCCCAAATCCTTCATCTCAAACTCAGCACTGAGAAGCCCCTTTAACTTCTGGATATCAGACTTTGACCTCGCAGCTATGAGCATATCATCCACATACAGAACTAGATATATCATCGAACCATCCTCTGCCTTGCTGTGATATACACAACAATCATATGGACTTCTGTTGTAGCCCAGCTCAAGCATGTAGCTGTCAAATCTCTTGTACCACTGCCTCGGAGATTGCTTAAGTCCATACAAGGACTTCTTCAGCTTACAAACATAGTCTTCTTTTCCCGGAACCTCGAATCCTTCTGGCTGGGTCATGTAAATTTCTTCCTCCAACTCTCCATGTAGGAAAGCTGTCTTCACGTCTAGCTGCTCGAGCTCCAAGTCATAATGTGCCACTATTGCTAGTAGCACTCTGATCGAAGTATGTCTGACCACTGGTGAGAAAATCTCATTGTAGTCAACTCCTTCCCTCTGCGAGAAGCCTCGTGCAACCACCCGAGCTTTAAATTTCATGCCCTCTTTAGAAGTGATTCCTTCCTTCTTCTTGTAGATCCACTTGTTTGTAACAATCTTCCTTCCCTGTGGTCGTTTGACTAGCTCCCAAGTCTGATTCCTGTCATGGGATTCCATCTCATCTCCCATTGCGGCAAGCCACTGATCGGCTTCACCACCCGAAACTGCTTCTCTATAGGACTGTGGCTCTCCTGCATCCACTTCCTCAGCAACCTGAAATGAATACGCCACCATGTCCTCAAAGCCATACCTCTGTGGAGGTACTCCTGCAGTCGCTCTCTTTGGTCTACCGGAAGTAATAGACTGTTGAGCTCGTGCACTGGACTCTGAAGTTTCTGGCTCTGCAGAGACATCCTCATCATGTTGATCTTCTCCACCTTGGTGCTCAAACTCACTCTCATTGAGAGTTTGCAGCTCCACCTGTTTATCAACATTCCTGCTACCTTCAACAACCGTAACCTTCAACATGGGGTTAAACATAGACTTCTCATCAAATATCACATTTCTACTAAGTATAACTCGATGCTCAGAAGGTGACCAGACTCGAAATCCCTTAACTCCATCTCCGTAACCCACAAATACACCCTTCTTTGCCCTTGGGTTCAGTTTACCCTCATCCACATGATAATAAACAGGACACCCAAAAACTTTCAGTGAAGAGTAATCAGCAGGCTTACCATACCACACTTCATAAGGAGTCTTACACTCGATACCTGTGTGTGGTCCACGGTTGATCAGGAAGCACGCCATGTTCACTGCTTCTGCCCAGAATCTTCTCTCTAGTCCAGCATTAGAGAGCATGCACCGTGCTCTCTCCAACAATGTCTGGTTCATTCTTTCTGCAACGCCATTCTGCTGAGGTGTATCTCTAACAGTCCGATGACGGGCAATCCCTTCATCCTTGCAGAATTCGTTGAACTCAGAACTGCAGAACTCCAGACCATTGTCCGTTCGCAGCTTCTTGATCTTCTTCCCGGTCTGATTCTCCACCAATGTCTTCCACTGCTTGAACTTCGTGAAAGCCTCACTTTTCTGCTTCATCATGAAAATCCAAGTAAATCTCGAATAATCATCAATAATAGACAGAAAATACCTGCTGCCTCCAATGGATTCAACTCGTGAAGGACCCCAACAGTCGGAGTGGAGGTAATCTAGTATCCCCTTCGTCCGGTGGATACCCTTCTTGGGAAACTTGCTGCGATGTAGCTTCCCAAACACACAATGCTCACAGAATTCCAAATTCTGCACCTTGTGCCCGCAAAGAAGATCCCTCTTTGATAGAACTTGCATCCCTCGTTCACTCATATGCCCCAGTCTCATGTGCCAGAGAGTGGTCATATCCTCCGGTTGAACCTGAGACGATGCAACTGCAGCAGAACCAGACAACACAGACCCTTGTAATGCATACAAGGTCCCACGCTTCACGCCCTTCAGTACCTTCCTCGAACCCTTGCAGACATACACAACTCCACCTTTTCCTTTGAAGCTGAAGCCCTTGCTGTCAAGTAGACTCAAGGAGATCAGGTTCTTCGTCATTCGTGGAACATGTCTGACATCATTCACGGTACAGAACGAACCATCATGTGTCCGAACCTTTATGGACCCGATTCCAACAACCTTGCAGACAGCTCCATTGGCCATGACCACGTTACCACCATCTATCTGCTCGTAGGTTGTGAAGCAATCCCTGTTCGGAGACATATGATATGAGGCTGCAGTATCCAGAAACCACACATCACCACGATGTGCCTTCTCATCTACAGCCAAGGCGAGATCGTCTTCAGAACTGTTGTCCACTTCTGCCACGGCAACTGAACCTTGTTTCTTCTGTTGCCCTCTTCTCTTGGGACAGTTGTACTTCCAATGCCCCACTTCCTTACAGTTGTGACAAGCATCACCTGGCTGTGGACCGGGACCCTTGGAATTCTTGCTCGAATTCCCTTTACCAGATTTCTTCTTTCCCTTTCCACCTGTAACAGCCAAACCCGATGCCTCACCACCTGTACCAGATCCGGACGCCTTATGTCTGATCTCTCTCGTATGAAGAGCAGACCTGACATCCTCCAACGACACGCTTTCTTTACCGGCAATAAAAGAATCAACGAAATTCTCATATGAACTCGGCAAAGAAACCAGCAGGATTAGGGCAGCATCCTCGTCATCAACTTGAACATCTATATTACGCAGATCCAGCAAAATAGAGTTAAGTTGTTCGAGATGTTCCCTCAAAGGCGTACCTTCTTGCATCCTCAAGCTGAACAACCGTTGCTTGAGATGCAGCTTGTTGGTTAGAGACTTAGTCATGTACAGACTCTCTAGTTTCAACCACAAGCCCGCGGCAGTCTTCTCAGCAGCGACTTCAATGATGACGTCATCAGACAACGATAGCATGATGGTCGAGTGGGCCTTCTCCTCCAGGGTATTCCACTCATCGTCATCGACCGCTGCCTTCTTCTGTTTCGCAGACAGCGGCCCCCACAGCCCTTGCTGTTTTAGTAAAGCCTGCATCTTGATCTGCCATATAGCGAAGCTGTTCTTCCCCGTGAACATTTCGATCTTCATGTTCACCGACGTCATTCTTCTGAATCGAAAACCCTAGCCTGATTTCCAGCCGCGGCTCTGATACCACTTGTTATAAACGCGCTGCTACGGATCGGGAAATCACCGGGATCGACAAAGCAAGAATACGAGAGCGAGAATCGAAAACACGACACACGATTTACGTGGTTCACTAACACGATGTGTGTTAGCT